CTTGATCCGACAATATGGTAGGATGTCGCCCATGCGCAGGCGTGACATGTTGTCCGAAGAAACGTCGAACGTACCGAGGATCCCTTTGGACTAGTCGGGTATCAGTTCGGGCTTTGGACTGGCCCGAGCAATTTCAAGAAGGTTTCCCAGGATCTTTTCGCATGCCTCTCCCGTCTTTCTCTGCGCAAAGCGCCCCCATCTCAAGCGCGGTCAGCGCTGCCAGGATTTCTGGGAGAAGGTAGATATGAAAGCTGGGGCCAACGAAGTGCCGCACCATCTGCACATTGCGCAAAGTGTCCCTCTGAGGGCCCTAGGACTGTTACCCGCGCCAATTGGCCGCAGGGCGGCCCTCCTTGGTTTCCCAGCGGGCGTCGGCGCGGAAGTTAAAGATACTGGGCCGGCTGCGTCAAGCGCGTCGGGCCTAGACCCGACGCCGTAGCTCGTCGGCACCCAGCCCGCAAGTGTACAGTGCACACTGCTGCGCTTCTGGCTCAGGAGCACGAGAATGGACACGATCTAACCGAGATGCAAGCTCGAGGTGGATGACACCAGTGGCCGCAAGTACATGCAAGGTCTGATTCAGGTCAAAAATCGAAAGATACTGATCGAGTCGGGTATTTTTTGGGCATCTTGCTCGCCATTGTCTCAATTTGTCGCACACGCGAAGCCCCGCTTACAAATGACACCACGCACCGCTGACGAGCTTCCGCGGTCGCGGGCGGCACTCGTTTTGCAGTTCGAGCACAAACGCGACGTATGCATTTACGGCATTCGCGCTGGAGACCCTGATTTTTTTCTGGGCGCCGTCGCGCAGGTCGCGCGCACAAGAGCACTCGGATGTACCGCATCCTTCTCGACAGTCTCTCCTGCGCCGAGACCGCCCATGCCAATTCTACACCCCACCCGCCAAATGACCGCGGGGTAGACCAGTCGGGCACCGCTCGAGTGTAGTAGCTAATGGGTATCCTTGAAGCAATAGATTATGTCAACCAGCGTGAGCCACAAGCAGTAACTTTCACGCACTGTGAAATTGGAAGTGGAAGATACATTGCGAGAGAAACGCGGTGCAAGCTGCATTGCGTGAGCTTTGCGGCGCGCGGCATGCGGGGCAAGCTATGCTGCGTTAGCCATATGACGCAAGCTATGCTGTGCAAGCTATGTCGCGTGAGCTGTGTTGTGTGAGCTATGTTGTGAAGGCTACGTGGTGTAAACTATGTTGTGTAAGCTATGTGGTGCGAGCTATAGGTTGCAACGGATGTGTGGGCTATGTGGTGCAAGCTTAAGCTATGTGGTGTGAGCTACGCGGTGCAATACATGATTGCCAACTCTTGAGTTGCCCACTCCACTGTTCGCACAACCACCCCACAATCCCACCCGCACCTTGGTTTGCAAAGCCCATGCGGCGGCGATTGCGAGCGACGACTGCTTGGCCATGAAAGGCACATCTCTGCGGCCGCGCTGGCGCTCACAAGCTCGCGCGCCAGGACGCCAGCTGGCTTGGCGCAGCCCATGCTGCCGCGATGGCGCCCGCCCAGGGGAACTTCCCAGCGCGCGTCAAAGACCGCGCCCGCGCGCGGGCACTTAAATGCTGGTCGGTGGCTCGGGTGGGCGCCGCAGAACGGCGTCTACACCGGCGGCGACAATGATTCTACTAGCGAAAGTGGTGGCGATGATGACGATGACAACGGCGAGGCCAATGGCGGCGCCGATGCCGGTAACGCCGATCACGATAACGATGTCCATACGTCGATGATGAAGATGGCCGAGTCACGATGGCGGCCATGGCGGCGATTGTCGATGACGATGACGTGATGCGGCCGCGCTGTGCGCGCGCGGAAATCCGATATCCCGGCAAATTTGTTGTTTTAGTGTGAAGACCTCTTTTTCGACACGCTTGGACAAATTTTTATGGACATTTTGACACGCTTTCGTGGCGGCGCGCGCGTGGCCCACCTTTGATTATGTAATACGGGTTCGCGCACCAGGCGCATGCTGGATTAACGTGGTGGATGCACGACGTGGTGAGATGAGAATGCGGGCTCTGTGGGAAATGCAAAACTCATATGTCCTCCCGTGAAATCAGCAAGTGCGCGCAGGCAGAGTAACCCAAATTTGTAATGGAAAAAGCATGAGGGATTCTGATGTTCGAATGCCAGATACTTGCAGGACTTCGGAGTTGGGTATCATTTCGACATGTCCGCGCTTGAATATTGAAACATGTTCTGCGACAAACGAATGTGCACGCATAATATTGTTTGACCGGGATGAGGGGGGGAGGCCTGGGACGGCATGAGTTCACATGCATAACGAACAGTAGGGCAGAATAAAACGTATGTGATTGAATTGCCAAGCCCCAGGGGGTGCCGATAAGTCCGGGGGGAATTGGGTGGTCTAATATATTTTTCTCTTCTTAGGAAACAAAATCTGCGCGGTCTGAACTATGGACGGACGGTCATCAACGGGGCCGCCGGGCCCGCGCACTGGCCGATTCTCAGAAAGGAAATAAAGAACCGTTAATGCAAGCACTGTCTGGGGACGAATGCCCCGTGCATCGCGCCTGTCCGCGGCGCCATCTAGTTCGGGCTCGCGCCCTGCAACAGATGCTCACGCCACTATAAATTGACGCACTGCGCTCGCCATACCGCTTAGATCTCGGAGCCAGCTTTATATCGCCCATCTGGAGCTCGACGGCCGACGGCGGCGTATTCAAACGCCTTGAGACTTCGCGCGCGCGCTCGTGGCGCACGGCGCCCCACGGTCGCGACGGCGGCCTTTTCTGATCAGTAGTTCTCGAAACGTTTCCCCAAACGCGCCGTCCAAACGAACAGCGAACTGCCTTGAAACGCGCGACGGCGGCGAGACCCGAGATAGCGGCAGAGTAAGCAAAGCAGGGGTCAACATTCTCTTGGGCTGAAATGACGACGTCTGCTTCAACGCGCGCCCGAGAGATCTCCAAGCCGCTCTAGCCTCAAACGGCAATTTGACTATGAGATTCAGCTCCGCGCGACGCCATCGAATGATAAGGTCGGGCCAGGCACTCCCTCTCGACCGAGCCCTGGGTGAGACTTGGCGTGGGCATCTGATTAACGCGTGCGAGCGAGCCCCCCGACTGCTCCGTCGACGCCGCGACGCGCGCCCTTCAAGGGAGTTTCCCCAAGAACCCGGAGATTGGACACTCCCCCTCACTCTTCGCCAGCCCCCCCCTTGCGTTCATCCCCCGCGCGCAGTGGCGAAAAGTTGGCAGCTCGACCGTGGCCAACTCTTCTTCGGATGGAGGCCCTTGCCGAGGAGACGCCAATTCTGGCTCGTGCGAGGCTCTGCCAGCGGGTCGTGCGCTGCGCTGCCTTGGCAAGGCGGGCCCCAGAGGCGCGCCGCCCGCAGCGCTGGCAAATGCACGCGAAAGACTCGCCGCTGCTGTCGATAACCGCACAGCGACGCCCAAGATCGCGAAGGGACTGAGGCTGGACCGCGAAGCGCCTGGAACGCCCTCCACTCGGAGGCGTAGCGGCCCCACGGGGACATCGCAGACGCAAAGCGCGGTGCCGGAAGCTGCGAGGGGCGGCCTGCCGGCCAGGGCCCGCTCGCGAGGCACCGGCGGCGGGCCTGGCACCACTCGCGGCTTCGGCGCGAGCTGCACGCCGCCCGGGCACGTGCGAGGCACAGCTCTCGAAGCAACCACAGGGCGAGCAACTTGCCGGCGCGCGGCTTCGGAGGCGCCAGGATGCCAGGGCGTTCCGAGCTCGCCGCACGCGCCAGCACACTCGTCGCCACGCCCCCCATACAACTCATCCGAAGGAGGTGCGACGCCAAGCTCAAGATGGGCCGCATTCGCATGCAAAAGTATGTCTCGGGCCTGGGCAAAGATCAAGGCTTACCCGCATTTGAGCAGACAGACTTTAACATGACAACGTCGGGAGAAAGGTGCGCTGCCGTGCCTGCGGGGGGCCCAATCTCAGCCGCCTGGGCCGGTCTGGGAGTGGCTATGGGCTAGGGGAGAAAGGTGCGCCTAAAGGATGGCATTGGGTTGCCCGTCGTCGGACAGCTCGGTGGCCCCCCCACCCCCCCCCAACACAGCCCTCAATCGAGAATGTCTTGCAAGGGCCATCCAGGAACACGTCCGCCAACAGCTCCCACCCCATCTCCGCGTGCGCATACAGTCCTGCAGCTATATAACATCGACTGGAGATCCTGCCACATCAAACTTTCTAAAAACTTGAATTGCAAGGGCCTTCGCCCTGTCCCAGGGGCCTGGGCCAACCAACCACCAGGGTGCGGAAAGAAACCAGTCTCGAGCTGCAACTTCTCCATGTCGGATAGGTCCTCTATCCTAGCACGCTCCAAAACATTCTTAGACACCAATTCCAACCTTTTTGGGGGGCGGGAGTGAGACTGGCACATCACCAGCCAGTGATAAACGGCATCTCCAGGCTCACCGCAGAGGGGGCAAACCTCGACTTGGTAGTCAGCCTCCACAGCACGAGAAAAGTGCCACAGCCCTCAAAAGGCAACGGTCCGAGCGCAGCCCTTTTCGAGGGGAAGTACTTCTTGGCCGCGAGACCCTCCAAGACGATGCGGAAGTACAGCCTGGAACCCGAAGCATACTTGTCCACAACCTCGCGTTTCAGAAGCCTTGCTGAGATGACGAGAAGAACTAGAAGCAAGAAAGGAAGGGTCGTCCATCATCCGTAAGGGGTTGTCCATGGTCCACACCAGACGAGCCACGGAGAGGCCTCATTCGCATGGCCCCGCAAGAGCCCATCACAGCCCTCGAACTCGGGCAAAGCCCACTGAAGGCTCAGGTCCAGGAGTCCATCAAGAAAGCCCAGGCAAAAGCATGGGCGGGGAGTGGCGGAGGCGTGCCGGAGCCACACGTCACGAGCGTTGCGCAGCGCAGGAGCGGCCGCTCCATGCCAGGAGGGGCCGCCCTCCAGGCGCAGGAGCGAGCACAGAGGGCGTTCTCCCGAGCACTGCTTGAAAATAGTACCAACCAGCTTCCGAACCTCACCAATCTCCGCATCGGGCATCCCGCGGTCTTCACAGCCGCACTGCAAAGAGAGAGAGGGCGCCAGCCACAAAAATCGCACGGGTGCGACGGCCCAAAATGGCCTTCAGGCGATTCGGGCGGGTCATTATCCCCTTAGCCTGAGCAGCGAGGGGTTCGGCCTTCGAATTACGACCGCTAACACGCATGGATATTTCCCCTCGTGTCAACCCCCAAATTGACGACAGACCCTTTGAATTGGCCAACCAGTGGGCAAAAATGAGTTTGAAGCTGAAGGCGATGGCACGCGAAATGCACATCATGGCACCTTTACCAATGGCAATATCATCAAGCATCACATCATAGTGAGACCCTGTCGAAGGTGATCCCACGCCAAAACCACCCGAAACAATTTCTTCAGCCGGTCCGACCCCGTCATCAATGCACACACCCAGCGACATGTGCATGGGGATCTGGTCGAAATCGGAAGCGGCAAGCCCCAGAAAACTGATCACGGTCGTGGCAAAACCACACCCGGCCACCACCCCGCCGACAGCATAGATCGGCTCGGAAACCAACGCCATATAGCGAGCAGAGCGGCGGGCAGATAAACACCCAGCACTTACCGCCGGGTGGAAAGACTGCTCTAGGCACTGGCACTGCAAGAAGACGGCGACGGGGCCCTGCTCAGAAATACTTGAGCAATCCTCACAGGGTCGAAGCATTTTTCCCCCTCTGGCCCCCACCTCTGATCGGAAATGCCGCCTCCAAACCACCTCCTGGGCCCTTTTGAACTGTCCCGCAGCCCGGTGGCCAGGGCCTGCCGTGAATAGCTTCCCGCTCCAGCGGCAAGGGCGACCGACAACGCCGATGGGACGTAAGCCCGAGATGGGCGTAGCAAAGAAGGCCATAATCGAGGCCCTGAGCTGGCGGTGAAGAATACCCGACATTTCAATCATAATGAAAATTTGAACCGGCGCCTCAGCAGCGCCGTCGGACATGTGATACTGGCGGCGCATATGAAAGCCGTCCAGGCCCACCACCGCGCGCTTGGAAAACTCGCGGGACATCGCTCGGATCGTCGCAGGATCCAGCAGGGGGAAAAGAGATTCCTGAAACTTTCTCACAGGAGGAGAAGCCTTCTAGAGACCCCCAGAACGTTCCGACTCTGTGTGCAAGAACTCCCCAGGATCCGAAACAACCGAACCAAATTTGGACAACGTAGCGGTTGGCCTCCAAGCCGTCGGGTCGATCGGGACCCGATGTACCTTCCTGGCCCTTTTGTTAACACCCTCCAGGAGCCAAGAGTTCCACTTCTGCTTAGAACGAACGGCAAGACAGGCAGTGGTCGCTTCCAGCTAGCCCGCCACAGCAGATCTGAGGTCGAAAACGGCCAACCAGGAGGATGAGGAGGAGGAGGAGGAGGAGAAGGAGGAGGAGGAGGAGGAGGAGGAAGAGGAGGAGGAGGAGGAAGAAGAGGAGGAGGAGGAGAAAGGGGACGAGGAGGAGGAGGAAGAGGAGGAACTCGGAACTCGGAACTCGGGGATCGACGAAAGGCCGCCACTCAGGACGGCACTGCTGGGGGCGTGCAAGACACAATTAGCCTTGCAGACCAGAGTAGGCCCTTAGAAGGGCCACAAAACACGCCGTTAGGCCACAAACTCACATATATGGAATCCGAGTGCCGAACTGGACTCAGCACGAGAGAAGCCTAACGTAGACGCACGCATCCCTCTCCCACATGCACATCATCCAACTCACCTCTTGATACCCCTCCATATCCACAATACAACAACAGAAAAAAAAGAGCTTAGCCTGTGCCGCCTGACATAGCGGCCTTGAACCACCTGTGTAAGTCGGCCTGAACCTTTTTCTCGGGCTGCCGCAGGTGGCGGCAGCTCGGGAGGTGGCCCAAACAGGTTAACAGAAAAAATGTGAAGTCTTCTGAGTTCGGCCACTCTCTCCCTGCGCCGACGCACCACCTCAGCCCGATTTGCCGCTATCCTCGCCAGAACAGCATCTGACAAGGGTGGCGGGAGAGGTGGAAGGGGGAGCGGAAGGAATCCGAAGCAATTCGGGAATATCTTGGGAGCTCCCTGGGCTATCTGGCATGGGTTCCCTAGCAAATGGCATCGCAACTGAATGACTGTCTAGATCATTCCCACGGTAATCACTCACCTCTGCCTCAGAACTGCAAATCTAATCAAGTTTGCTTGCTTTTTCACTGAACCAAGCGGCTTGAGCCAAAATGGCTACGGATACATCCCTACCTTACCTGCATCTTCCCACCTTCCCATGCTAATGATACACTGCTGCATGAACACATGAGCACTCTGATCACCCCGCCTCGGGTCCAGGCAACAAATTGATGCCATATCAGAAAATCTTATATAAACTGGTAGCGGAGCGGCGGCCACGGACCTACGCCAGAAAGCCCGGTTCAGGCCAGAAGTCCCTTCTGAGTCACGGCCCTGCTCGAGTCGAAGACCAAGCCGGCTGTCGTAAGCAAAGGGTCCCTCATGCCGACGGCCATCGCCTTCGTCAGAGGGTCGGCCATCTGCTCGGTAGTCCGAACCTTCACGATCCGAATGTCGCCGCTCGCCACTCTATCTTGTAGCCACAGATAACGTGTATTGACATGTCTCTGCTTGCCCAACCCTCGGCGGGTTGCGAATCCCTTCGCTGCCGCGCAGTCCGCCTTCACGTTCAAACGGATTGCAGAAGACAGCCCCCAGTCCGCCATCAGGGATTTAATGCCCGAGGCATGGGCGCTGCCTTTCACTGCCGCGTAAAACTCGCTCTCGCCGACGTTCAACGCGATCGCGCTCTGCACGGTCGAACTGCTCTTGAGCAAGTGCTTCCCGAAGAAGATTGCCATCCCGCTGGTGCTCTTCCTGGTGATGATGTCCCCGGCGTGGTCTGCATCAACCCAGGCATCTAACGAGTTTGGCATCACCTGCTTCGGAAACTTCAGGATAGCTCTCGGCCCGCCAAGCACATAACGCCCAAGACGCTTCAGCTCCTGGAAATTGAACTCATTGGGGCTCTTCATGCTCTGTGCAAGAAATTTCACTGCCTCCTGGATGCCCAAGCGGTCTTGTCCAAGATAGCTTGCCCGCATAACACAGGAACGATACAGCGTCGCCTCAGAACTCGAAAGTACTCTGCTGTCTGCACCCTTCCATACGTCTGACTCAGAATGTTTCACACGTGGCGTATCTACAGATTTGGCCTGTTCTAACCCCAAGTCTCGTGCAAGAAGCTCTGCGTGCCTACGGTCTCCTTCGATCTCAATACCGTCCTCCGTGATACGAACAATCCGGTTCAAGATGCACGCCTCCTGGGAGTCACCTGCCTCCGTGCCAAGCGTTGCCACGTGCTTGCAAGTGAACTTAGAATTTAACAGCGTGTCCATTTCCGTAATTGAGAGTTGATCACCCAAGAGAACAAAATCATCTCCGTGGACGAAAAGCCTCGATCCATCAAATGGGTTGTAGAATATAGATGGGTCCGTCTTCCCCGGAACGTAACCCTTCTTAGCCAAAAGGTCGGTGTAGTTCTTCTGCCGCAGGTGGCTTGCGTCCTGAGTTCCGTACATGGTCCTCTGAAGCAGCCCAACATGAGTGTGTCTGTCGGGATCTCCCTCTGGCAACTTGACAAACAGCCTCTGCTCGCACTTCGACATGAAGTGTGCCCGCGAGATGTCCCAGAACGCTAGCTTGAGCTCGGCGCCCTTGGAACTCCGCTGTTGCGTCGCCTGGATACTGCAGAGAAGCTTCAAAGCCTCCAACCACGGCATGGCGGAGAACAACTTCTCCGGACTCAGCTGCTCGAACTTCGCCTTCTTGCCCTTCGTGGCCTCCATCGCGACCAATCGAGAACGCACGACAGGTTTATTAGTATCGCCCTTGTTGGTGTCAATCCAGAGCAGCGGAATCGCAGAAGCGCCCTCGCTCTCCATGACCTCCCGCGGGACCTTGGTGCACACGCCCTCCTTGGCAACCCAGTCCCGCTCCAACTGCCTAGCGTCCTCCACCAACTTCGTCGGTAGAATCCCGCCGTTGACGTCGTCGGAATACGTCTTCCACTGTTCGTCGCTGTACACCTCCGGCTCCTCAGCTATGGGCCCAGCCGTGCAGATGTCCATACTCGACAACTCCATCCGGTGAACAAGCTGATCACGAACCACACGTAAAATCGCATACATCAGCCTCGGCGGATATATCTGCGTAGACCTCACCTTCTGAAAACCAACTGGACGTACATGCCGATACCAACCACTCTTGCCCTGCAGGCTCACACGCTCGTCCTGCAGCATAGCGGCCAACTCTCGCGAGTTCGTTAACCACGACGTTTCTCTGCGCACGTATCCAGATCTTCCGCTCTGGATGGTGCCTGCCAGCCGCCATTTGCACATGGGACCGGCCACCTTGTACACTCCCGGCATGTTCTCCAGCTCCGCCATGATGTCCTCGCCCCTGGAGGTGGTAATCCCAGGAACCTCATGCAAGAACAACTTGCCCATCTTGATCTGCTTCCGGTACGCGTCGACACTCGCTCTCAAGTGCCTCCGGCCGTCCTGCATCTCTAAGCTCACGGTGTTTGGGTCCAAGTTTACTCTCGATGGCGACCGAAGCCTCGAAAACACAGTACTCGATGGACACCCGATCAACACCTCAGGCTTGTACTTGTCCTGGAGCTTATCTAAAATGTCTATGTCCTCATCCCGTGAAAGGTCCCAGAACTGCCCGTCAGGTCGCTGAAGTTGTAAATCAATGGCGAAACCTGCACGAAGTCCAAGACGACGATTGCCTCGGGAAAGGACCTCACTGACGTCCATTGCGGACATCTCGACTGCTATCCGGGATACCCCCCGGATGCCCTCAGAGTCGCCCTCGAACTCCGAGCCGGTGTAAAACTCCGTCACGTGCTTAACCGTCTCTGCGAAGTACTTGTCCTTGCACGCAGAGAACGCACCCACGTCTGCATTGTGCGCCTGGCCCACCGCCGGCGCCGATT